TGAGTTAATATATTTATACCACTCAGCCACACTGAATGTTTCATAAAGTGATGATCTTAAGAGCACATTGCTAATTTGTTTTAAGATTCAGAATGATTATTTATTCATTTTATAGAGAGAGGTGGATCACAGACCCAAATACCTATTAGTATGACCACTAAAAAACTACTTTGTTTCTTGCTTGATTCATTTTAATAAATACTAAATACATTGTGACTGGTTCAGAGGATGCAGATGCAAAAGTGAATCCTCCCTGTCCTCTAAAGGTGATTGCTTATGTTTTGTTTGAAGAGAAGGACCCACAACAGATAAGGTGTAATTCTTATTTTGAATACACATATTGTTAAGTGAGTGACAGAGAAGTACAGGTGCTAAATAAGTGTTTAATGGATGACTTGATCTATTCAGCTAGAGGAGCAATGTCAAGAACATATGATATTTGAGTTGAGCTCAGGGAGAATTTCAGAATTTCTGAACAGAAGAGCCAGACATGGCAATCTGGTGGGGAGACAGTGTGGAAGACTTGTTTTGGAGCTGTGTTGCATAAGCACACTCTTTCCTTAGACTACTCTTTATGTTTACTTGGGATGCTTTGAGGAGCTACCCACAGTAGGGTGAGTAGGGAGTCATTTTGTGAAGACGAGGGAGGAGAAATGAGCATATGAAAGAGCTACAAGGTGGAATTAAATGTAGGGATTCAAGGCCTGTGTAAATGAAGAGTAGAGCAAGGATGAGGTACTCTGGACTGGTGAAAGCAGCAGAGGCCAGGTCGACAGGACATGGCCTATAAAGATTGCGTAGTCTGTTAGGGGTAAAGATCCCAAGAGTATCTTCACTGACAGCTCTCAAGCAGGGTAGATCCTGAGAGAAATACTTAAGTGTAAATTATCTTTACATAGACAAGTACCATAGAGTATATCTGAATATTTGTGTGTATGTTCAGGGAGGGATTTGGGAAAGCTTCACATAAGTGACATTAGGTTAATCTTGGAGGATGAGAACAAATTTCAAAGTGTAGCTAATCACTTAGATTCAAGTGTTAAATATAAATTATAAATGATTATTACTTTTTTATTAGTATTCTTTTCAAAATATCTAGGAAATGTCACATGACTTATTATTTTATTTCTCTAGTACTGGAACTAAATACATTAGTGTATAATAGAACTGCATTTCCTGAAAATGACTTTACAGTTTAATCTTATCATTGATTTAGATTAATTCCCTCACCATAAACACCCACCAAAATCTAAGTTAATTAGTGAGGATTTGGTACATTTTTATACTTTCTTTTATTTCCTATTAAATTATCTGTAGAAATGAGGCATGTTGTCCTTCCACATTAATTCCTGCTTGCTTTGCTTTAAAGATTTGTAATTAAATTGATTTAAGTATTTTGGAAATAATTTTAGAGTCTAAAGCACTTCACGGAATATTCTTTGTTCTCTCTAATTTTTAAAGGTAAATGTGCTTGGATCTGGAGATTGCCTCGACTGAAGATTAGTAGATACAGAGGAAGAATGACATTAGCATTTATAGAATTTTTAACTTCTGCAGTCACAGGACTGTGTCGTATATACTTTTCAGGTCACAGGAAACTGTATTTAATATTTTACAGCATGTTCTTATTATTCAACGCATTGCTTGTGGCTGCTAAAGGATTTCTGCTACCAGTCAGTCATCATTTAGCAAGCACTTAGGTCTTCTTTTGTAATTAATTATTTTTATTCCTCATATGTGTTTAGTGCCTGAAGGAAATTTTATCTAGAAAAAAAATCTGTATAGTGTTTTAGTGCAGTACAGTTTATTTAGTTATTCATCTTTGCCATTTATTTTTTATTAAACAAATCAAGTCAGATGTTAGTTTTAAGCCCCCGTATTAAAATGAGTGATTGTTCTATGAAGTCACAGCCAGGTCAAAGAGAGGTCAATAAGATAGAGCTCATCTAGGCATTGCTCTATGTACCATCTGCCCATGTTAAATCACAGTGATAAGTAGGATGTGTACTTGTGCACCACTAATTCTTCTTTGGGCAGAGTTTCATGGCTTCTCATGGTCATTACAATTGTCCAATTACAGTTGCTCAAATTGAATTATCTCTAATTAGTGGGGCTGTCTCATGGTACAGTGGGCTACTTGGACATATTTCTGTTTAAATGTTCTGTCCTCAGACGTGGAAAACCAAACATCTTATCCTATATGAAAATTAAAAAAGGATGATGGAGAAATAGAAGACAGGATACTGGAATTATTTTATATTCTTTAAGGTGAAAAAACATTTCCAATATAATCTTGTAATAAGATTAATGAAAATGTGTTATGGTCTTTAAAATATTTGGAGGAAAGTAACACTAGTTATACAGTATAAGATATTCATCTATATATAAATGACATACTGAGGTTATTAAACAAAAATTCTTGCCCTTGTGATGGGAAAAATATAGCTTATTCCAAACAACCCAATTATAACAGATTTAGGTCTCTGTGAAGATTTATAGTATCTTTGATTCGTGCCCAGCCAGGAATTTTCTGTCTTGCTGCAAACTGCACACACCATTACAAAACTGTAATAGTTTCACACTGACTTTCTTCTGTGCAGATTGATTCTAATACTTGAGGGGCAAGTGGGTAAGAATAGGGCATGTATATCATGAAGATTCCAAAAGACCTTTGAGCAATGATATCTGTTTGAAAAACTAGAAAATTATCTATGTGTTCAATAAGATTAGAGCTAGCCAAAGGTACCACTCCCCAGTATTCTCACTTGGAGGTGAGGTATTTCTATAGCCCATCAAATCTTACTGCATAGTCATACATCATGTTGGCATCACACTAAAGTGCGTTCTCTAGAGATTCACTTAATCCAAAAGTTCTCTAAGGCATTATTACTTGATCCAGCATGGAAATTACAAGAGGGGTGGGAAGAGAGACAGAGATGGTTTTCTCCTTTTTTTCCCACACTGAGTACCACACGATGAAACTTTGCTTTAAATCTACTATTTTAGGTAATGAAAAACCATTAATCCCATTGTTATTCCTGTTTAGCAGTCAGCATCATCATATTTTGGGGGCAGATTTCCTTAATATTTCAAAATCAACACTGAAACTAAAAGGAATAGTTTTTTAAATTAATTATTATTTTTATTTATTTATTTTTTTTTGCGGGACCCTCGCCAGCGGCGGGGGAACAAACCGGCACCATAGAGACTGAGGGCAGCCTCGCAGCCCAGCGCTCAACCTCTGCGCCACCAGGGAAGGCCCTAAAAGTAACAGTTTATGTTTCTGGATCATTCTGAAATAAATACTATTTTCAAAATCATAAGTTCACTCCTTCATTCCCCTACTCTTTCTTCTTATGTATGCACCCACTAAACCATCCATTCATCAATCCAAAAAGTAATTATTGGGTTCTGCTATATGCTGGCTGAGCAGCATGCTAGGTACTTGGGAATAATTGGCCAATGGCAGAGCAAGGCCTGATCTTGTGAATTTGCACATATGGTGTTTTAATGCACAAAGATGTTTTATGCACAAAGGTGTTTTAATGCCTATTACCCTTGTCCAGAACTTCGGAAGGACACATTTGTGAAGACAGAAGGAAAGAGAAGATTCTACTCCATTCTTTCAGGATTTTTGCCTTAACAGTAATTTATCAAGGCAGTCTTAGTGATGAAATGTAGAATACTATTAACTCTGGCTTTCAAAATTAGAAACTTTCCAACTTAGTCAGAAATGAAGTGTACACCCCCCCAGCATCTGCATAATCCACCAATAAGATGGATCTGGTGGCATCTAATGGTCTATAGATTAAATGATATAATGAGATTACATCATCTTTGTTTGGTGCTACATAGATAGCAATTTCCCTCACAATCAAACCAACATTATTTCCTTAAGAATGTGTGATAAGGATAGACATTTTGGCAATAACTATGGAAAGTTTCAAAGGAAAAAAAAAATCTAAGTGCTGTAGTAATTAGCCTTTTCCTCTACTGCAAATAATATGTATAGTTTCAGCAATCATATCAACTGTCTTCCTCTGGAAGACAGTTGTTTAAAATTGGATAGTTTTCACTCATTTTTCAGTGAAAGAATTTGAAAATTCTATCTTTGCAAACCAAAATACTAGATGGCAGAGTTGAATGTATCTTTCACTTTAAAATGCAGACTCTCTCTGTGGTGAATGTATTTGTTGTGGTAAAGTATTTGAAAGGAAATCCTCAGAATAATTTGGGGTAAGTAAAAAAAAAAGTCACTGTTAATATAAGCCAACCCATCAGTTTTGAATTTTGAAAATAGCTTTATTATGAATCAGAAAGAATTAATAATCATTCATAGCAGAAAGAATGTATGTTTGGATTTTAATATATAATTACAGTCTCGTACAAATTTAACTTCCAAATAATCTGATCTCAGTTATTTTTCTAAATGAATTGATGTTCTTTAGAGTTCATATTGATGTTATTTAGTTACCTCCTGATTTGGTATGTGTCTTGGCAAAAGTCTTCCTAGATAAGTGATTCCTGTAAATGTTGCAAATTCCTTAACAGGTTACCGTTCCCATCATTTTAAATAGCTCATGCTATATTATTTCCATCTAGATGCATCCTTTCTGTCAAGAAGTGTCCTGCTAGTTTGATAAGAGGCTCTCTTTCCTGAGGTCTGTATTTTGTGTGTGAATCAGCTCGGAGAGTGAAAAAACAGAATGCCAAACAGCAAAAAATATTCTATACTGTGGGGCTCCATCCAAAGAGGGTTTGTAACACAGTGTACAGTCTTGTCGTCCAGCTGTGTGGAGCATTGATTGCTTCTGCCTAGAGCAGGGATACTGTCAAGTTGCTCTGTGAGTTGAGTCATCTATTGACAAAGAGCTACCAGCCCGCAGATAATGCTGTGCGGAGCTGCTCTCGCTGCTCCCGCTGCTCCCACGATGCTCTGCTTATAGCAGCTGCCAAAGATACTGAGGGATCCACGGGAGGAAAAAAGACTTTTACAACTGCCTGGAAGAAAGGGGTGTGAGGGAGGAGACATTCCTGTGCAGAGCTGACCAAAGGAAAGAGTAGGCTTCAGTGCAGTATGAATGCATACCTCACCAAGCAACACAGCTGCAGCCGGGGGTCCGATGGGATGGATGTCGGCAGGAGCACGCCCACACTGATCAGGGATACCCACTGTGCTTGTGGCTGGCAGAGGAACCCTCAGGGGCTTGAGTACCACTCTCAGACAATGCCTCCCTCAGGACATGGGGGCCCAGCTTCCAACAGGACCAAGTTGGTCACCTTGTGGGACAGTGTGCGGAAAAGCCCCCACAAGATGAGCACCAAGGGCAAAGGGACTTGTGGGGAGCATTGTACCTGCCCCCATGGTTGGTTCAACCCAGCACAGGTGAGCCTTTTCCTTCTGACTTTCCCTTGAGCATTGAAAAAACTGAGAGTAAGTTGTGCAAGATTACATGCTTGGGAAACTTTGCTGAGTATTTTGTCCTGCCTGTTTACTACTGTTTGGCAGACGGTAGATAGGCCAAGAAAACTTGGTATTTTCATAGGTGTTTGTGGACTCACACCTCTGGGTGGCCTGGGAAAGTCCAGGGAGGCTGTGCTCAGTTTCTTTCACTGACTTTTCCTCAAGTTCAACTTGTCTAGTCTGAAGCTGATTTTACTATTCTCCTGCATGGCCTTTTAGCAGCTTCTTTATTTCCAATCATTGATAACTTTCTACTCTGCGTAACCAAGTTTACTTTTATTTTAAAGAGAGAGAAACTCAAACTTTAACGAGATGCTTTTCATCTCTTTAAAGATAAAAACATTCATTTCTTTAGTTAGGGAAAATAGTGACTTGAAATATGCTATTCAAATTGTACTCTTCTAATACCATATACCTTTTCAATATTGAAGAAATTTTTTTCTAGTAAGTCATTTTACAAACAAGAGGAATAACGGTGAGTAAGTCAGAGGATGATTAAACTTAGAATAAAATAACAAAACCTTTCATTTATTCATAGAGAAGCAATAAGTTTATTTATATTAAAAAAGGTAACTCTCTCATAATGTATTTCTGAAGTAGATGTGCAGATGCCCGTAATCTGATTCCTAGCTTATTCTTGCCCCAAACTATCAGCATTCTCCCAGAAATGAAATTGACTCATTTTTTTTCTGCCTCCATCCAGAAGAGAGAAAAAAACTTTCATTAAAATGTTATAAAATATAAATAAAATGCACCTGTAATCACTGTCACAAGTACAGAGCAATTATTGTTTTAAGTATATTGAAAATAGAAATGTTGTGTTTGCAGAAAATAATTCTTGATTTAAATATGCTTTTAACTTAATTATAAAGTGAATGTTGATCCTGAATAAAATGTTATGATCTGAGAGATGTAGAGAAAATTCTAATTCTAATTAATATTAGGATTTTTTTTTAAAGAGTACTTCCTAGAATTTCAGATACCACTGGATCTTAATAATATGGGTACATATTAATGACCATGTATGACTTTTGGTTCACTGATAGTATATATATGGCTTTTGACTCACTAATATCTCAGAATCTTGTTTCAAGTCAAGAAAGATTGTAATTTTTGTATTAAACTAGTTCATCTTGAAATGAAGCCTGACATTTGGAAATTCAGTTATTTTTTAAAGTTTAATGAGAATTTCAAACTGAGTTGATAGTCTTGACAATTTTGAAGACTCTGCATAGTCCTTAATAAATACACATGTTTACATATATTTAACTGTCTCTATCTCTGTGTTGATACCATTACTTAAGGCTCACAGCAAACAAGACAAACTCACATCTAGCTTATGACTTTTGTAGAGTAGAATAAGCAAACTCAGCTTGTTTTATTGTTACAATTATTTTATTGAAGATATAATATTTTATTATAAATGATAATTCTCAAGCCATAATCTCTGATACTACATTCTCATTATCATGCTCTAAAATATTGGTACTTTTATCAGATGGGAATTTTTTCCTTGGATTTTACAAAGTCAGCCTTCTACTTGCCTTAAATTTATAACCATTTATTGCTCTAACGAAGTAAAGTACACGCTCTTCATTGCTAATTAAAGAGCCAATGAGAAGTCAATAAATTGAGGGAGCAACCATCTCTCATTATTCTTTTGCATACAGAATACTACATGTCTTCTCTTTTATTCACATGCATTTAATTACTGGCTAGGAAAAACAGTGGTCGCCAAGTATTGGAGCTATAAAATCATGTTTTAATGTCTTCATGGTTGTCACATTCTTCTATGACCAGAGGCCTTTTACTATCTTAGTCCTATAAAAATCCTGTATTTGATTTATCAATCTCTCTTTGTCCTTTCCTCCATCCTTTTAAAAATATCATGTTGAATAATATTTAATGTGTCTACATATATACATAGATTTAATATCTATATTATCTCTTCATATATTAATATACAGATATTAGTATATATACACAAGTATATATACTTAATACATATACATGTGAAAAATAAATTTTTAGAGTTTTTTTCTTTTCTCATCAAAAAAGTGCTTGCTTGTTCTCCCAAAGAATGTTTCATTTTCTCCACAAAGTACATTTTCTTTACTTCTGACAAGTGCTCAAATATGTTGATATATGTATGCATATATGTACAATACATGTTCACATATACATCTATAGAATCTACATAATTTTGAAATACAGATGTGTACTATACACACATGTGTACGATCACAAAAGCCGATCATGTCAGTGTGTGCCTATATTTATGCACACATGCCCCTTAAAACTAAATCTGTTTTGACAGTTTTGTAATTTCATTTTTACTCCTTAAGTAGTGGTAGTCTGTGAATATTATAAAACAAAGAATGATGTCTAATGAGACTTAACATTAGAATCCTTGATAAGGCAAAATGAAGAAAGTGCATGTTTTTGAATAGCCTTGGTACCCACATGTGGGACAGAACATGCCTGAGGGCTGTTAAGTATCTGGGAGCTGGGATCCTATCCTCAGAGTTATTTGCCATATTACATGGAAATCAGCAGTGTGATTTCCAGCTGTTCTAATAGATGGCCATGGTAAACACTTGTGTTCCGCCCAAGGCTCTCTGCAAACTCCTATTATTTGGGGTCCTGTGTACTTACAGAAATATGTCATTATGGTGTTCTTTTACAAAGTGAAAAACAGCTCTGTCCCTTCTCAAATAAGTTTACATTCCAGTTAGACCTGTAGAATTAATATAAACATAATAGGAAGAAAATGGAAAAATATAGAGTCCAGAAATAAATTCTGGAATACATGCCTCAGATAATTGTGTCAGCTTTAGGAGGAAATGATGTCCATGTTTGCTTATGTGGCATTTCTGCCCAATGCAGACTGTTGTGGGGAAACAGCACAGAACAGAGGAGACTTAGAGGCCAAGGTCTATTTGTTCATGTATCTCTTCATTTATTTACTCAACTATTGTTATTTGAGTGCCTACTACGTGCCACTGTCAGGCACTATGTATATAATGGTAAACGCAGTAGATCCAACTGATCCACCCCAACATTATGGTATGCAATGTTTAGCAAATATATCATTATACGTACAGAATGATACAATCTTAAATCACACAACGAAAGGGAAACAAAGTTCCAAGAGTATTGGCAATTGCATTGGAAATGTGTATTCAAATGCAGAGAACCACAGAGGAGTAAGAGCAAGATGTCTTTTTTTTTTTTTTTTAAGATATTTCATCTCTTTGAGTGTAGAGTTTTCTGTTTTGTGAAAGGAACAAAAAGGTAGTGACAGGCTTCTAGTGTGTGGTGAGAAATTATTAATGTAATACTTATAAAGCACTTAGCACAGTATTTATTTCTATTAGGGGCTCAATAAATATTTGTGGAATGAATAAATTGTAAGTCCACAATAAAAAATTGTCTCTGATTAACCTATTCCTGTCTCTGATTAACCTAGTGTTATACTTGGCTCGCTGAGGAAAGGGTGAAGTCTTTATAGAGGGAGTGATATTCAGATGCAATTGAATTGAGTCTTGAAAAAAATGTATGTTTTTGCACTGGGCAAAGAGAGTGAAATTCAGGGGGCTAAAATAACCAAAACAGAACACAGATAACTCCCAGGAACCTGTTTGGGTCTGTTCATAGTTCTTTCTGCACAGAACATTGCGTATTGGAAGGCAGGTTCATCAAGAACTGAGGTGGTCTGGGTTTGGTCACAGGTAGACATGATGAGGAAGCCTTTGAGCGGTAGCAAGAAATTACTGCAGAATCTGACAGTCTGCTCTGGCACTCTGTATTTTAACCCTTGTGGTTCATGAACCCTTGCTGGGCCTCAGTTTATGGTTCTAAGAAAACTTTTTTCCTAAATAACAACCCTTACCTTCTCCAGTACTAACTTACTATCACCCTGTCAATTGACTCCCCTCATTAATGGGAAGGACTTTAGAATGAATTTATGCTTTAGAGCAGAGCTGAACAATCCTAAATTTGAATTTACTAGTGTTCTGTGATTTCACTTGCCTTAGTTTCTTTAGGACTTACTTGTCTCCTTTATAAAATTTAGGATGATAAAAACATATTGCAGGAAAAACATAATAAGAGTGTAAAATGATTTATAAAGAGCCTAGCATGGCACTTAGAATAGGGGCATTGTTCAACAAATGGTACTTATTTCTAATGATATTCAAATTATTTTTAATATGAATACATTATTATGTGTCAGATTAATTATCATTATTGTGATCTTTCGTTAGAGTGTAGTTTGCTCACTGAATTTTGTGATGTCTTACTTACAATGATGAAGGTTAGGCTAGGCAACTGTCCAGAAACATTTGGCAGAGTACCACATAATGATGGGGTGACATTTTGTCCTTCAGTGTTATCTCAGATTTACAATGGTGCACACCAAAAAAGAAAAAAAAATCATGTAAATAGAATTTATTGGTGAAGTAGCATTGTCAAAAGCTCGCATTCAGAGGTGGGGGCTATTTGAAGATTTTCTCAGCAACATCCTGCTAGAACAACTGCATTTGAAGGATTTAGCCAGACTCTGTAAATCTTCCCTTACAGTCCCTTTGCAGTACCTCCAGAAACAGCACTTTGCAGCAACTTGAGTGCAGAGGAAATTTTAGTCCAAGAGGTAGAATTGCCCTAGGCTGAAATCTTGGGCTCAGTTTATGCCCAACCAGAAATATTGAACAGCTTATTTTAACAATGAGACTGTTTCTACTGATTCTTTCCAGAAAGAGAGACTCTTGCCAAAGAAGAATAAGACGTTTTAGTCTTTGGAAAGTAACAACTACCTCCCAAGCAAGAGAAATAGAAAAGAATAAGAAGTTCATGAAAAGAATTAAAGTTCTAGACATTCCTTTGGCAGATTTGAAGCCATTTGATTAACACTCCTGTACCCC